GCTGCGGGAATGTCTGAAGCGCAGCACAAAAGTGCCGCCTTAATACTTTCAACTTCTCCGTTTGGCGATATTTTGACTTTCACTCCCACAATGAAATTAGTTCATCAACGAATGGTGATAAAAAGTGTGTTAATGTAGAAGGTTCTTTAGATAAAGCTGGAATTATTCCTAGTAACATGATGTTTTCTCTTTTAAACCTTTCAGCTCGGGGTAGATTCATAAGAGCTAAATATAACACACCCACTGAGTGGTTAGATTTCCTCTTGAATGGTTGAAACCAGTCACAGTTCAGCATAAGACCGTAAGCATTAGTATTGTTCAAAAAGTCCTTATCCTTGTATTTATGAAAGTTTTTCCATACATTTCCGTCATAGACATCTGCATAAATATTGTCATTTACTTTTCTTTTATGCCACTCTTGGCATTTTTCTTTGAAACGTGGCCTCTGCAGTAAAGTCTCCAGTGAGTCAATGACGCTTTTGTAGCAATAGGTATATTTTGGAACATATTTAACAACCCCGTTTTTCAATAGCACTTTTTCCATTAAATTATTTCCGCATACTTTTTTTCTTCTTGATCTCGGAAATTCCACATTGTTGCACATTTTTCCTCGAATACGGCCGTTTGCATCATTAAAGATACAATCATCGGGCCTGTATAGTTTCGTGCATTTTCCACATACTACATACCTCTCAAAGTCATTATTTTCGATTCCCAAGAAACGCCTAAAAGAATACATAGTTATAGGTATAAGACTAGCAATGGATGCTACAAATGTAAGACCAGTTGTTTCTTGTATTTTTCCGCCAATCAAGGTAAAAAATGTGCTCATAAACCTAAGCAGGGACTCGATGCTCTTGTCGCTCAGCATATTGAAGTACTGCCATACAAATATGAAATACAGAAACCACGTGATAAGAAGTTTGCATCGTTGCAAGCTACTCAACTCAGGTGTATTTTGATCTACCTGGAGATCATGATCATTGATAATATTTTTATATTCATCATCTTCTAATCCTTCCCACTGTGTAGGAATTTCGTCGTCTTCAGAAGCACTCCACGAATCACTGCTTGTGTCACTCTATCCAAAAATAATAATCACATTAATTAGCATCACAAAATATTACGTTTTTGACCAAAAGTCTATAATATATCTTTTGTATAAATAATGACTGCCCGTTGAGGGGGCGGAAATAATGCTTTCATTAGATTCAATTGACATCATTTATCACCACACAAAAGTAACATAGGTGTTTAGTAGAGCTAGATCAAAAGATAATCCCTATACACCCTTTTAATAAGTCCCGAGGTATCGAGTTCTCCGCAATTGACGTCAAATTTATTCTTTCGAGATTTTTACAATACAAAAGGAATTCAAAAGAATAAATTTGGCGTCAAGTGCGGAGAACACAATACCTCGGGACTTATTAAAAGGGTGTATATGGTTTGTAGACATGCAACCAGCATGCAATCTTCTCAATTTCTTTAAAAGAGTTGTATAGGAATTCCGCACGATACAATTTTTAGTACAATACCAGTGATGTTTTGAAAGTTCTTCGTAATTGCACGAACCCGATAGGTCGTGCAATTTTTTGTTTATAGTACATACCTCGGTTTCACTTGATGTTGAGGTGTCTTCTGATATGGATATATCAGGTGGAGTCACGTTGGATATATTTGATGCTATGAGTGTGAAACATTTATTAGTATCGTGAATCAGTATCATAGCCAAAGCTTATTATTTATCTCGTATTTCAGAAATCCTTTATTTTTCACGTTAAAAAAATCCGTTTTACCCAATGTTTACTTGCTATTATTAATCAAGCTGCCAATGGCAACATAATTCGGAGATTGTAAGAGCTGCTTTTTCAAGATGGTCAGCTGTATTTTGAGCATTTTATTAACACATTAGATAAGTTATTTACAAAAACATGTAAWWRG